TTCCCTGCTCATAAGCCCCTTCCCCACACAACCAGTGCCAGGGCCCACAAACATCCCTTTTTCCCCAGTAAAGAGAGTTCATGGTCCTATATTTTCTAGTGGGAGGAAGGGAAACCAGGGCTGAACGGAGGCAGCATTTGACTCCTGTCCAAGCCCTCTAGTCTGGGTACAATCAGACCATAGATGAATTTGACATGCTGACAAATGGGCATGAACTTGAATGGGGGTGGGTAGTAGGAGACAGGGGGCAAAAGAGGGCAACTGAAGGCTCTCCCCTGGCAACCAGGCTGGTAGAGTTATCCCTCCCGAGACACGCACAAAATCTCCCCAAGAGAGAGCGGGATCAGTGGGGGATTCTGTTGACAGGAACCCTGCGGCGTGGCTGGCATCTCTGACTCTCACTGGGTGCTGCCTGTACGTCAGTTACTATTCTAAGCACCAATTCATGGAGTCCTCACTAACCCGAGGAGCTGGGCACCATTATTGCAGATGAGGAAACTGCGGCTTGGAAATGAAATCTGCCCAAAGCCCCCAAGCTGGTAAATGGCTTTACCATTTACCAAATGGCTGGCAAAGGGCAGAAATTTGAACCAAGCCAATCTAGACTCAGAGTCCATTAACCACCATGCTAGGGTTTCTCAGAGCTTATTTCCCAAGTGTGTGAAAATTTATCCCAAATTGTCTTAATCCAAAGAAGTGAATCTCTAATGGGCAAGTTTAGAGCACCATGATGCATAGTAAGAGAGAAAGATCTGGCCTTTGGTCACCCCTCAGATGATGCCAGGAAAGTAATCAACACCCGGAAAATGTCAGTAGTGATGTCAGTTCCTAATCTACTTGCCTTCATCTCACCCCACCCAGGTCAGGGGCTGGATTCTCACCTGATTTTGTAGATGAGGCCCACGTTGTTGGTTCTCACCCGGAACACATCAACATTAGCTTTCTCAAAGGCAGACTCGCTCCTACAGTGAAGGTGCGCACAGTTAACACAGATCAGCACTTGGCCCCCAGGCCTGGGAGGAGAGCCAAGGGCTGGCATCCCACCTTCTTCCTCCACCGTCCCACTCTAGGAGGTGCTGCTGGCAACCAGTCCCATTCTTAGATTCTTTTCTGATGTGGTTCAGAGAGGTGGAAAGCAAGGATGGCTAGTATTCATTCCTTGCTTTCACACCCAGGTTCTCATGGGCTCCTTGCTGTGCATCATTAAGGCAAGCTTGGTGGATAACATTAGCCTCATTTTACAAACAAGTAAATTGCTACTTGGTAGCAGAGCTGGAACCAGAACCTGACTCCCCAAAGTCATGATCCAATGCTCTGTGGTGGCTCTGGGCTGGGAGAGTGGAGGAGGAAGGAAGGTGTGATGAATGCCCTGGTGCTCTTGGGTCTGCAGGCCACCTGGCCTCTCCTCCTCACTTGCCATTGCTCTTGCTGGGGAGAGGTGCAATGGCAGCCCCAAGTGGATGCAAACCTTGGGTGGTGGTCCGTGGTCCTGCCACTCCAACAAGAAAGGAAACACTCAACCCAAACCAGCAACCAGGGAGGTGGGGGCAGTGAGGGAATGCATATCCGGCATCCCACAGATGGTGCAAACAAAAGCAAGTACACCTGAGGTGCTCAAGCAAGTCCAGACTCAGGAGCATCTTAGAATCCATCAGCTTAGACACAGAAAGGCTGGAGCATGGAGTCCTCCGGGAGTGGAAGCCTGAATCTCACGTGGACGTCTGCTGTGTCCTCTGTGTGGGCCAGGACACTGGCCGCGCAAGCCCGGGGCTGCTCACAGCTCTTCCTGACCCCATGGTGAAGCGCTCGCCGGGCTGAGCCGTAGACCCCCCTCTGTGCCCCCAGCCAGGGCTCTCAGCACACAGCCCAGGGAGAAAGAAAAACGCAGAAGACATGTCTATTTATTGGACATCATGTGTTTCAAAATAAAGAAGGAGATGAGGGGCCTTCTTCCCAAGGCAACAAGGCTCAGATTCTTCAGTAACAGAAGGCTTTTAAGACTCTACAGACCCAGAAGCTGTGATTCTGCAAACAGACCCACTTTGGCAAACAGTCTGCCCTGGGGAGAAGTTTCCTTGTGGGGGCTCATCACGAGACATGGGGCCCAGGGCCCTTCTAGAGCAGTGAAGAGCTCATGACATCAGGTGAAAAGGTACACTGAAGCAGCGGGTCAGGGACAAGGGCCCCTCAACCTGCCCACAGGGTGAAGTCCAAGCACAGAGGGGAAAGAGGAGAGAGGGGTGGGAACTCCTGGGTTTGGCTGGAGAGGAAAGGCCCGCCCCCCAGGCTGGCTGCAAGAACCAGCCAGAATCTCATTTCCAACAACATGGTCCACATTCTGTTTCAAAGTCAAAGAAGTTGTTAATTGCTTGGAAAACACGTGGACATCCATTCTGTGCATCAGGATTGCGTGAATGGGAAATAAGGAAATGAATAAGAAGTATTTTGTATTTCAGTATATGAGACAAGGAAATGGATTTTTAGAATAGACTCAACATCATATAAATACATCATATACATATCCTGAGAAACAGTTACCCTGGGAAGATATATGGTGGAATATTATGCAGCCATTAAAAATCTCATTATGAAAGAATATTTAGTGAAACAGAAACAGATTTATGAACTAGGCTTGAAACAAAAAGCAGCTTAAAAAGAGAATGTACAAACAGAGCAACCAATACAAACAGGATGCCAACTTCATTTAAAAACAGTAAGGAGCCAAAGGATGTATACAAAGACATCATGTCTGCGTGGTAAGACTATAATGAAATGCTGGTTATTTATTCTTGTCTGTATCTCTTTTTCTTTTTCCTTTTTTTTTTAAGTTTTCCGAAGGGAGCACATTTTGTTTTTGTAATGATGAGAAAAATCACAGTCCCCTATTTCAGCTGCCCCCACTCCATCCGGCAGCTGCCTGTGGTGACTCCTTTGGAATGAGTTTGAGGATCCCGGCTTCATCTGCCGGGGGGGTGGGGGCGTGGAATTTAGGGAAATAACCAACAGCAACGCGTAGGGGAAGAGGAGGACGATTTGGAAAGGAAAAGACAAGGTGTGATTTGGAAGGAAATCAGCTGGCTTTCTGGGCTGCTCTGACAAGAGTTCCGGCTCCGACAGCTGCATTCAGCAAGGGGAACCCCATGCCTTCAGAAAGGCCCTGCGCGCACAGCCAGGTAGAATGTGCATTCGTACTTTCCAGAGTGTTTGATAAGTAACCAACCATGCTGCTCTACAGTCACTTAAAAACAAAATTTTTAAAGAGAAGTGGGAAAAAGGGAAACCAGGAGAGAAAGATCCACCAGGATGGGCATAGGGCACGCTCCGCGCTGTCTCAGGACCACACTGGAGCATCTAGGATGTGACGCGATTGTCTGCAGTGTTTACAGGATGGAGACCAACGTCTTGGCAGACAAGAGCAGGGCCTTCTCTCTTCAGAGGGGAGAAAGCCAAGGACTGCAGAGACAGGACTATACTGACTCCCTCCTCTCAGGGAGGGGCCAGGACAATCCCAGATGAGCCCTAACCCCACCCCATTCAGTGGTCAGATTTCAAAATCCCCCCTTCTGGAAGGTCAGAATGCACATGCGGGTGGGTGTCAGAAACCTGACTGGACGTGGGGTGGAATCAGCAAAGGACAGAGGGTTGGTGGTCAAAGGAAACTACTTCACATGTCTCTGGGGGAGCCTGCAGGTTTTCCACAGCTCCTGGTCAATCCTCAAAACCCAGTGCAGTACATCGCCCCCTGCCCACGCCTGCCACCCCAAGGGGACCCCACCGGGACCCCACCCATGAGAGCCTTTCCAGGCTGCACAGGGCATTTTAGCCGCCAGCCAGGCAGAGCCAGTAGGCTAAAATCCCAGGATTCTCCGACACTCTCAGATGGTGAATTCTCATCAGGAGGACCGTGTTCCAGAACATACATGAGATCCCATCCTTTTGCCATATCCTGAATGTGTGGCTCAGTGCAGACGTGGCCCTGGGTAACCGGGAAGGGGGCTTCCTCTGGAGTCCAAGGCTGTTGGCATGTGACTGATGTAGGGGGCAGGGCAGAGGTCAGCTGATTGGGAAATCGAAGTGAACATGTCACATTCTTTGCTGCCTAAGAGAGAGTCTAATGTGTACCGAGGAATGTAGACTCCAGACCGTGAGGGTGAGAACAATCAGCTTTTTTAACATCAGGCACTGAAGGTTTTCTTGCAAGAGGAATTATTTTTGTATTAGAGGGGAAAATAAATCCTGAAAAGTCCCATGGGAGTAGAAGGTGAAAACCTGGGGCAGAGGAGATAAGACACAAGGAAGAGGGGAACTGAGGGGAGAGGGAGGAATGAGGACGTGGGAGAGGCAGGAGAGAAAGGTGGGGTGAGAGACTCAGCCAAACGTTGCGGAGAAAGGGGTCAGGAAGAAATTCCAAGAAGGGTGGTCGCTTAATTTTAAGACTGGTGGGGCAGGAGGGGCATCTAGTTAATATTCCATTTTGAATTTGTCCTGGTTTCATGTGAATTCTCTCTGATGCCCTGAGCTATCTGACATCTGATGCAGTTTGCACGTGTGTGCACAAGTGAGTGTGTGCGTGCATGCATGAAGGTGTGTGTGTCTGTGGATCTCAAACAAGGAAAAAGAGCTAAGTTCCAGGTGACACATGGGTGTGGGTGCGGGTCTGGGGTGACACAATGTGACGAAGAGGGAACAGCAGCAGACAGCGAGAGGAGAGGAGATTTCCAGAGCAGTGGGCATTCTGAGCCGGACCTCAGGGACCACGTCTGGACTAACTGCGTCTAAATCCCGCAGAGCACGGGGACCCCCGTGGACACCTGCCCCTGGGTTCTGCAGGCAACCTGGACTTCCTTGGAAAGCAACGCTCCCCTCCCAGACCCGAGGTCTCCATCTTAAACTGGAAGGGTCTCGGACGGTGAGGACTGTGTGTATGCAGTTCTCTTGGTAGACAATTTGTCTGGTCTTCCAGCAGCCAGACTCTGGTCCTCACCTGCCCTGGTTATTCTGCTCACCACCTGCAGGCTGATCCTTCCTGGCTGCATAGTATGTCAAGCTGCCCCTGATCGGCTTTCAAGCAAGACCTTCTACAGAGTGGTCCTCCCTGCCTTTCCCACCTTCCTCCTCTCTGCCCCTCCATGCAGCCTGCAGGTCCTCTCCCAGTTCCCTTAGGCTGCAGTGCCCACTGTGGCCTCAAGCCATTTCCCTTCACCTAAAGTACCTTCTTTCTGCCCCTCCCTTACGGAGTCCTTTCCACCACTTAAGGTCCAAGATTACACGCCCTTCCCTCTGAAGTCCTATTCTAGCCACACCGATACCAAGTCATCTAATAAGCTCTATCTGCAAAGAACCAGAAGAGATGCTAGAGGCCCACAGCAGACCTCCCATCATCCTCTGGCTCCACAGGGCATCTCTCCACGCGTCACCTCTCCAGCCTCTCCAGGACATCCAGCTGATGCTGCAAAACGTGCCTGTAATCCTGCCTGCAGCCCTCCCCATGTGCTTCTGCAGGCAGAGCCCTCTGGCCAGCAGGACTGGGGTCCTGGCCAGACCTGTGCCCCTGCTGCCCAGCCTGGAGCAAGGCACAGATACAAGACAGACCCCCACCAGCAGACGCACAGAGTAACTGGGGAGACGTTGGTTCCTGTATGCAAAGCAAGCTCAGAGAAGCTGGCTGCTTCGTGTGGTTTCAGCCCTGCCTGGAGACCTCCCGGCCCTGCCCGCTCCTTCATGCCTGAGACGCCTCTACCATGATGCAGTCTTTCCTTCCCACTGAGAAGGAAGGTTGGAATTCACACTCCCAGGGAAAGGGGACTCAGAGACAAACCTTCACATGGAGTTATAAAAGCTGACTCTGGGGAACCTTCCTCCAACGGTGTCTTGACAAAGGAAAAAGGTGAGGGGGAGAGTCTAAAGCTATTAGACGCATGAGAGAAGGAAAGACAGTGAGGAACCACCACGAAAGGAGAAATGGCTCTTTTTGTTTAAAAAAAAGAACAGACTGAGGACTCTGGAAACCAACTGGCCAGCTCCCGGGGGTCTCGTGGCTTCTCCCTGCAGGGGTGCCCTCTGGGGAGGACACATGGCAAAGAGGATGGCTGTTTCATGTATTGTCTTTACCGTGCCCACATCACTGGAGGAAGGGACTTCCACAAGCCAGGCACTCTGCAGTGTGAGCAGCACGAGAAGGCGGGTACCCTGTGCTGCAGAAACGGACAGAACAGGAAGTTACGCCGGCCTCGTCGCGGCGGCATTTACACCAGAGACTGCATTCGGGGAAGCGAGCTCCACTGAGCCTGGTCAGTCTGCAGAGTTTGTGGCGTTATTGGCCTGGGGACCCCATCTTTCTACCGCTTCCTCTGCCAGCCCTGGAGGTGCCAAGCCATACACCCCAGAGGCCCATAGGGGAGTCTCCCGCACACCCTCCAGGGCCATGCGGTCATGTGCTCGAGGAAATGTCTGCATCAAGACCCTGTGGCTAGAGGACCAGCTTTCCCATCAAAAGCTCCATGATTCGGAGCTGCTCGCCACTCCTCTCTTGGCCCCAGTTTCCTCATGAGCAGGCTGGAAGAGATTTAGTGGTTTTCAAATTTTTCTTTGGCTGCAGAAAGAACCCTTGGTGCAAATAGAATCTGATTCAGAAACTCAGGGGCCGAGATAACCATAAGTTGAACTGCTGCAGAGGAAGAAAGGAAAGAAGGGAGGGTACGATTGGGGCCGGAACCAGCTGGTCAATCCCGTTTCATTCATCACAGAGTGAAAACCAGCGGCCCAGACCCCCAGTGAGGCCCCCGGATGTCTCTGGTCCCGCTGCTTTGCTGCCGTGTGTGGTAGCTGTGTGCGCACCTGGTGATGCGGGCAGAGGATGGAAAAGAAGAGAAAGCAGCTTCTACTCTCAGTGGTTACAGTGCAACGGGGGACACAAGCATACACACACACACACAAGCACATCTACACGAACACACGCACTGGCTTGAGTGTGTGTTAGCGGGCAGACAGGCAGGTTCCATGTGATGTCAGTCCCCGGGTAGAACGTGGGTGCAGAGCTTTTAAGCTCAGGGCTCCCTCACATGCTTGAGCTTGTCTCCTCTTCCCAAAAGCTCCATTAGTTTGGGTTTATCACTTCCAGGTGACATATGCGGAAACCAAGGCCCTGGATGCAAAAAGATTGGGCCAAAGGCATATGGCAACTAAATGATAAAGCTGGCCCTCGACCACGTTTATTGATCCTGAGTGTTTATTCTCCCACCTCAAGGGACAGCTCTGAATTCTTGGGAAATCTGAGATCCAAAGGAGGCATTACTGTCCACAAAACATCAAGAGAGGAGCTAAGGGAGGTTGGTAGGAAATCACTGGGAGAGACCTGGCTGCCACGTGGTCTGCGGTCAGCAAGGCCTGTGGACACACGTGTCTTCTCCCATGGGATCCAGAACGGTATCAACCCCGACTAACAGCCAGGACCCCACCAAGGCTGAGCTGGTACTCACTTGCTGGTAAGATGGAGCTTGGGAGAGAGCCCATTCTCTCCAAAAATGGTGATGAAGACATTGGCATCTGTCCCTGCACCACGAACATCGCCTGTGGCTGTGACCACCTCGTACACTGGAGGAGGAAAGAAGGAAACCTACAGTCCTCCACGGGCTTGGGGAAGCCAGAGCTCCTGCTGGCTCCACAGGGGATGCCCAGCCGCAAAGGACTCTGCGAACCCCTGCGGCAACCCACAAGCCTCTGCACAAGGCTCAGACCCACAAGTCCTGCTGTGAGACCGACATCTCCCACTAAATGCCGCGCACTCACGTCACAGGTGAGGGACCTGCAGGCGAGGGCACCAGCCCAGGTCACACACTACACAATGTCAACACCAGAGCACAGCCCAAGGCCTCCCGATGACCGCCTGTGATCTTTCCAGCACAGCACACGGATGCCGTCCCAGACAAGACCTTCTTCAGAGCCTGCCTCTTGCTCTCACCTTCCTCTCTGCCCTCTACACAGTGCTGCTTTGCAGCCCTCACTTCCCGTGACCTCCAGGACATTGCCATGGCAACCATTCAGGCTAAGCCATCCTACAGCTGGGGATGCCAGTGAGTCCCTTTATGGCAGGGGCGCTGATTTCCCTCCCTTTGTCCCCTTGAAGCTTGCTCTTTTTTTTTTTAACTGAAGTACAGTTAGTTACAATGTGTCAATTTCTGGTGCACAGCACAATGTCCCAGTCATGCATATACATACATATATTTGTTTTCATATTCTTTTTCATCAAAGGTTATTA